ATTGTAATAAACAATTCTTTCGTGAAGTACTTAATTCCTCGGGAATGAACGCGTGATTTACCTTTCACTTATTATCTACAGCAAGGGAATAAAATAACGATCAACAATCACACGTCTTATATATGAGCATAAACAGAAAGTTAGGCGGTATTTTATTGCTAATGAGCCACGCTTTTGTATTATTGACATAAATCACATAATCTACATAATTAGTATACATACAGTCGAAGAGTATTGTCATTAACATGTGAGTATTCGTTCATCAATATTATATTATTATTGTTACATTAAAGTAATACATTAACGTAATATTACCTTTATGATTGAATAAAATTTGTTGTTATAAAATGTAATACCTCTCCTTGAATTCCTAAAAATTTGTGTTAAACTAAACATAATTCCCACACATTGACAATCAGAAGAAAAAATATATAGTTGCTAGCAAGATTACATCCAGGAAGGCCTAAAATGATAGACATAACTATCGTATTTTGATATATGATTTCTAAACGATCAAATAATTTTGTCTTCTGCTCCATTAACTTTGTCATTTTGTCTTTTATTAATTTAAACCTTGGCATTATACGTGTAATTATTGTATAAATAAACGTTTAAAAATATATAAGGGGAAGAACATGGAAATTTTAGTAACGCTAGTAACAGATCGCTGCAATTCATGAATACAGAAAAAATAAATATATCTTACTGAGAGCATGTATGTATAACGCTATATCCTGTACAACAATTGCAACAAAGCGTGTAAATCAAGTACAAGTATTTTTTCTAGAACAAAGAACATATTGTGGAAATTCATTTATCGACATATTAATAACAAATTACCTGAGGATTATGACCAAATATATAAACGTTATTCGCTTGCTATCATTAATATGTATACATTCAAATGGCTTTGTGACCTATTTCATCAAATGACTCTACTCGTCAGAAATTGGCGTTATTTCTAGTCCAAAGTCTTATCAAATAAAGCTTTAACAGGGCCAGTAGTTCGCCTCTATTTGCGTACTATATGTGTTACCTTGTAAAAACTTAAGACTACTGTACTGTTTTCAAATGAATATTAGAATATTATAATGTGTTGTTTATCTTGCAGTGTTTTAAACAAAAATAATTGATCATTGAAGTGTACCATTTTATGAAGCTGTGGTGTGAATGTCTTGGCTGATGTACTTCCAAAAATTAATACAGATATAATATTGAAACATGTAGATTCGGGTTTTAACCTTTAGCCGATATGTACCTTTAGCCGATATGTTACTTTGTGATTTAAACAACATTGTACGATATTTAATATATCTAGGATACAACTATCCAGCACTCATCGTACCTCATCTATCCTCAACGATTTTATGTTTTAAATATATGAATCTATTTATCAGGCCAGTAACAATATTAAGTGTATTTACATGTTGTTTACTGTTCAAAAATAATGATGAATATAATGTGTCACGGCAAATTGCATTTGCCTTTTTTAAGACCTTATGAACCTTCTTCACATGCCATGCTGCTTCCAGGTATATATGTATATCAGTAATGTTTCTTTGTTACCAGACAGTAATATAGCGACGGGATATTGAAATCTGGTTCCCTTTAACGAAGATTAAGTTAAACATCGGATTGTTGTGAAACTCTGCATTGAAGTGTACATTATACATACAATACAATAAATAAACACCCAGTCTGTGATGATCTTACAGACGTCTATTGACTTGTTATGTTATTATAGGAAGAAAACTTCTATAACTTGAATTTACATTTCCATATACACGTATTTAGTAAAATGCATCAAACAACTGTGTTTTTAATTCATATGATTGTTACATTTATTGTGCATAATATTGTATCTTGAAGCAAATAGAAATAAAAAACAGATAAAATAAAAAAAAATTCACTGCAATTTCAATAAAATATGTTTGCAATTTAGCCAGAATATGTTGAATGTAGCAAGAATCCGGAAAAGGTAGAATAAAGATCCTGATTTCCAAATATAGCATCATCATTGACCTTGTTCTGCACGGAGACCTGATGACCTTTCTGAAGCTGTACTATAACAAACTGACTCCCCTGGTCGAGTCGTCCGTCTGTGCCTCGGCCATAAGTATCTGCAATATTGACACCGTTAACAACAATCCGACAGAATATCTCGCAACCATTGTAAACAAGAATTGACGTAAAGAAGACGTAGGTCCCAGAAACAGGTGCGGTGAAAATACCACTAAGTGCGTTATATCCATTCCCTATGTTTGTATGAACGCGGTCAAAGGCGATGTTTTGGTAGGCCGGTGCATGTAGTATACTTCTCGACAAACCAGCAGTAAAGGCGACATTCGATGTACTCACTTGCCTTCGTGACCGACTCACTAAAATACAAAATAAATAAAGTTGTCTATCATGGCCAATGTGAGGCACACAAGCTTAATGCCAAATTAATCTTTCGTAGAAAGTAGAAATAATCTGTGTAAATAAGAAAATCAAATTATTTTTTTAATTTGTCATTATATTTTTTCAATTTTATCTTCTCATGGGACAGTAATCACATATATTCTTTGCAACTAATTGGTAACGTTCATTTTTTACAAATTAGGCAATATTTATATTTTAATGTTTATCATTTATAATAATTACAGAGGCACTTTGTTAAATTATTTTTAGCCAAATGAACTTCTGACTATTCTCATAATGTTTTTGTACAAGTATTTGTACATGCATAGGTGACAGTGTATATTTTGTGAGGTTTCTTTTTGTAAAATAAGAAAGCAAAAAGGAGAATTGAGGAAACTTTCATAAATTGGAGGAACAGGTATGGAAGACAATAAGTGATTAATCTGATAAAAATGATTTTGTTGAGAACGGCAGCAAAATTGCGATGGATGTTTGACTGTGTAATTGACAGTCATTGTTTAATATCAAATGTTTTTTCCGAGGGATCAACTTTTTCCAGATATTTATTTGTAACACTAACAAAACTGGCATACGCTATATGGACGGTATGCATGAAACTATTGTAAGTCACAGCTAAAATGCATTTGAGCATTTCGTATGTTGTTTCTAAGTCGACGCTCTTCAATTCTACGAAGCTATTGCATTATTATAGTTTATGGTGTGCAAAGCAAGAAATTGATGATTTCATTGAACTAGCCAATGATTGTGATTTATATTACATTAACAAGCTTACCTTCGGTGTTGAGTTTTTCTCTACCAGAACATTCATCTGCGGTACATCGAGTGGTGTTTTTAAGCAAAATCGAAATCAGTTCTGACTTTTCTGAAACCTCCTGTTGAAGCATCTCAACCTTTCGTTTATAAACTGATAGTTCCTTCCTCAGATCTAGAATTGTTTGTTCTTGGATTCTGTCTCGAACTTCAAGAGTATTCAGTCGATTATTAAATTGTTGAATCAAATTGTTTAAATTCTGCGAAGAAACTAAAGAATTATCACCTGCCTGGGAAGCTTGCAGAGAGCAAACCATTGTAATCCCAACAAAAACTATACCAGCTAGCTGCAGATGCATTTTTGATTTTGCTTACTAGATTCACTTGGGATGAAGGGTATATAATGCTGAATACTGGACTGAAACAGTCTCTATCATACCTATGATAAGAAGAGGTCAAGCGGTTTAAAATACCATTTGTTTAAACATATCTCTGACATTAGCTGTTTAAACAGAGGTGGACTTGTAAATGTACTGAGATACAACGGTATTGGACATGTGTAAATGTACCTCTGTATGACCTTGATAAAATAAAGAAGCGCCAACAGGACATTCAAATGTTACTAATTATGATTCAATGGTATTAATAGATACTTTATCAGTAAGTCTTTTAAATAGTGGAATCAAATGTGTTAATAAAACGTAACGATATCTGGTGGGGGGAAATTTTGAAAACTATTATGGAACTTCTTAAACTAAACATTATCTACGAGTGGCATATTTTTTTTCAACTGATGTAAAATTAATCAATAATCTTATTAATTTTAAATTTTCCCAATTTTAATAGTTAAAGTTAACGTTGCCATTAAGAAGGTGATAATGTACATCATAACGTTAAGGATCTATTTCAATAAATGTAAACGGCTGATAAAACAATATTTACCAATTAATTTAATTCCTATTTATCTTACTAATTACCTTAGTTCCTTACACTCGTGGTGTTATAAGTATACATTCAGTCTTGTTTATACCCGTTTTTCGTACTTGTACGATGTTAAGATTGAGAAAAAAATCAAACTTGATACATTTTCAATAACAGGTACTGATTTATCATGATGAAAAGATATGTTAAAAGGAATTGAGAATGCTGACGAAAGTAAGATACAATACTAGTAGGTTAAGAAAGAAAAGGGCTATTTAACAGTGCACCATTAGAGACAGCAATATATATTTGGACCAGTACCCAATTGTTTAATACATACATCTTTATACAGTCAAAACTGTTGCCCCGAGGTTTCAGGGATGACATTTGGAACTGTTGTCAGAGGCCAAAGGCCAAAGGCCGAGGGTAAAAGTTCCAAATGTCATCCCTGATACCGAGGGGCAACAGTTTACTGTTCCACAAACATGAAATAACTGTTTTATTTCCTAGTAGTACTTTGCAATAAAACTACAATATATAATACATGTACAACAACATACTAATAACATTTTACAACTGTTTTAATAATTAAAACTGAATCCTTCAGGCATTTGATTTTCCAAAAACCACTACCGTACATTGAGCTGAGCGACGTTCGATAACCGAATAATGGCAGGTTGCGTTAACGAAAATGCCTGATGACAGGGATGTAAAAGTTAAAAATGTTGACCAGTTCTTTTACAGTAATAAATCATATTATTCAATGATATGTTCTGCAAAATAACCATATGTGTAAAACAAGTAAAAGTATTACACCTTCACTAGGCTATCAACCAAATAGATGTTTAACTGTAGAAACTTAGAGGTCAATCCTCTATAGTATAAAATCGTGACTGATAAATGACTGCTTTAAGTTTTGAGCTTTATTATCTTTTTATAGATATAATCTTTGAAACATTATTTGCCGACGATGGGACCAGAGAAGTCTTGCTGTAGGAGAAAACCGGAAAACGTCGTGTACGGTGGAGATTCTCCATGTATTGTATTATCAAGGTTATGTTCAACTATTTGTATAGCAACATCATCACCTTTCTTAAGGTTGACAATCACTGTCTGTGCGCCGTGATCATAATGACCGTCTCCGTGTGTATACACCTGAAAATATATATAGTTACATGTGAGGGATGAGTAACTCGAGTGATTCTTTATTCCAAAATTTGAAGGAGGAAAAATTTAAATATATATTTTATGACACAGAATGGCATTTTTTCCTCTTTTCCATTGTAAACGAGAGTGGTTTTAAGCTAAGATTTGTCAACAATACGTCCTGGTTTATTTCACAACATAAGTGAATGTATATACGCATACAAAACTAACAATGAAACAAAAGTTGCACAATTACTGAACTACTAGAAGGCATATTCTACGAGGCAGTTAAGGATTTTTTTAATAAGGTATTTATTTGTAATTAATACATGTAGATATAATTATGAAAAAAAATATCAATTTTGAGTGCATTCTTGTAGAATTATGCACGATTCCAGCTCAAATCTGCAGGAATGTAATCAGAAAGACCGATAGGCCTGTGGATTAATAACAAAGCTTTTTACCGATAAACCGTGCATTATTATACTATAATGCAAGGGAAAAAAATTCTATTTTAGCATGCTAAACTAATGAAAAAGAAAAATGATGAAAAAAATTGTTGAACTACATTGTGCGTAGATTTAATTTTAGTTACTTCATTTGCTTTATTGATATCAAATGTGACGCCATATGACGTGTAAACATTCGTATTTCATACTGTGTATATACATGTATCGTGTAAAAATGCACTTGATTCTTGATTATACTCTCTGTGTGATAAGGGAATAGTGCAAAACATGAATGAAAAATTTAATCAGGTATCTTACTTGTGCCTTACTAACTCCATTCACAACAACTTCACAAATTTTACGACCAGATATCGTCATAATTGACGTGGTGAACACATAAATTCCCGCCACTGGAGCAGTAAAGACGCCATGATGAGGATTATATCCGTTACCTTCATTGGTCTCTACATGGTCAAAAACGACATTCTGATTTTCGCCCGCATGTTGAATCGAGTGCGTTAGCCCGGCAAAAAATGCAACGGTTATCTCGTTGCTGAACTCTCGCTTCCTTAAAACATTATCTCTGGTTTCTTTAAAAGAAAAACAAATAATGACGTGAGTACAATAGATATAGATTAATACTATTTTCCTTCACAACACAAAAATGTGTATATGATAGTAAAACATAGTAAATAATAAAACAAAATATTGACAAGAAATGTCGAACGACACATATGCCCCCCCCCCTTTCTAGCCCTAGACTCACATCATTGGTTATTTTGTTTTCAATATGTGAAATATAAAGACCCTGACCTTTGAACTAGTGACCCCATTGTGACTAAGAAATTTGTGAAATATGAAGACTTTGTGATAAATAGCTTTCAATGTAATAAGCAGAAACCATATTTATATTTCGGGCCCCTGTGACCTTGACCTTTGAACTATTAATCCCAAAATCAATCAAAGGGTCATCTTTTACAAATGGCTATTCAATATGTCAAATATGAAGAACTTGTGATAAATAGTTTTCAAGATAATGAGCGGATACCATTCTGACATTTAAGGCCCCTGCGACCTTGATCTTTGACCTAAAGACCCCAAATCAATAGAGGTCATCTACATATTA